TGGTTGGTGCGCGACGGAGTCGGCGAAGCCGCTTGAACGCGATGGAAGTGGAAAAGCTCCGAGGGCACACAAGCGAGCATTTTCAGCACCAGTCACCCGATGCCTGCAGCGCTCGCTGCGCTGCCCGACTTCACTGGCAGCGGATCGGGCCACGCGTCGGTGACAGACCGCCAGCCCGAACGGCGACGCATCGCTGCAGCGCAGGTCCGACGACCACAGAGCTCACCAGTGAAAGCGGCAGAGAGGTAACAGGCAACGGACGCGCGAGAGCTCCTGTCCCGCGCGAGGCCACAGGGCATGCTGGGACGGGGAGTCGATGCGCATCTGGATTCACGCGTAGCAATCATGCAAGAGACAGGGCCCCTCGCGCCGAAGAAGAGTAGACCAGACAATGCGTCCTGCAATGCACTGCATCATCTTGCCTGAGGCCTTCCCCCTGCGAAGCAAAGATTCAATCTCATGGCGTAGCCGCCATATGTTTTTGGTCTTCAGACTCACTGAGTGCCCATCCGTCATCTGCAGCCCCACGAAGCCCAACTCCCTCGACGCCTCCGACGCCTCGTGAACGACGAGCCCCTTTCCCTGGAGATCCGAGATGATAGCTCGATTCACGCGAATAGCGACGCTCTCGCTGGCAGAGAAGACGCAGAAGTTATCGACATAGACGGCGGCAGCGACGGCTGTTGGTGGCGAGGGTCTCGGCGGGACCTGGCCGTCCTCGATCACTTCGTGATCCTGCATTCCGACGTCTCGGAGCGATTGCCTAACTACCGCCTGGCGCAGATGCATCGCCCAGCCCCACCCCATAGGAAGAACAACTACACAATGGGAAGCAGGAGTGCCTGGGCCAAGCGAGACCCCATCAATCTCGTGGACCCCGACTAGGTCGAAACAGACGGGAAGCTATAGCATTCCTCGAGGCCTTGAGGGACCTTGATAGAGCGCGCAGCTTAAATCCCCAGGTGCCCCAACCCCAACAGACAGGGGAAGGATCACGCTTTCGATTTGTTTGGACCTCCGCGTGGAGTTCAAACGCATGGGGGAGTCTGATTCCGCTGCCTTTGTGACTCGAGCCATCGCCTCGTCGCCCTGGCAGGCGCCGGCGCCCTCGGCCTGGCGCATGCCTTCCGCCGAGGAAAATCGCAGGGCCTGGGGTGGACCTCGCCGCTCCTTGAACGCCCCGGCTGTCGGGGGGAGGAGAAGCGACACCAGCGCCGCCGGGGAGGCCACCTCCAGCGAGGAGGTCCACGATGCCTCCACAAGCTGGGGATCGGGGATGTCTCGAGCGGGAGGGGGCGACCACGCCACCAGGGAGACCACCCCCCCCCCCCCCCGGCTCCTCGCATCTCCTCGCCCTGGTGATGTTGGCGTCGCTTTTCCTTTTTCCTAGGCTGGCGAGCTCGGGCTGCAGCCGGTGCGCCTGCGGGATGCAGGGGCCACGCGCGAAGCGCTGTATGAGGCAATCTCCGCGAAGGGGTCCTCCGAGCAGTTGGGCCGCCTCGGAGAGCTGCGGAGCGAGCGGTCGACAGATGGCGGGGCAGGCCGGCAGCAGTCCTTCTTGGACGCCCGGAAGGAGCGCCTCGAGATGACGTCGCGCGCGGCCGAGTCGCCAGGCGGCGCGGCAGAGGATGCGAACCATGGAGATATCGAGATCGAGGGGCACCACACGTTGCAGCACAGCTGCTACAAGGGCGCTGGTAAATTCCGGCTCCGCGCGAGGGCCTTCACGATGACGCGCAACAGCCTCGCCCTCGTCCTGCCCCCGCGCCGGCGCGGCGACTTCCTTGTATTCGTGAAGGGAAGGGCCGAGACGTATAACGCCACGTAGTGGAGCTGCACATGCGAAGTGTCCACTCACGCGCAGAACCCAGGTCGCATCCACCATCGCGCATACTTCTCCTGGCACGGCCGCAGCAGCGGCATCGACCACTCCACGACGAACGAGTGGGTCTATGCGGGCGCGCGGCCCCGCGTTGACGCCAACACTGAGAACCGTGGTCCGTCGGAGTGGCTGCGCGCCACCAGGCGCGGGCACTTTTATGCGTGGGCGTGGAAGTCTGGCACTGTGTACGCAGAGACCAAGTATGCCCCCTGGGAAGGATTGTGGGCGCCGGAAGCATGGCGGGAAGCCAGCCTCTGGCGGATGCATAAGCTGGACCACGACGCGTACCGCCAGCTTTCAGCGAAGCTGCGCGATGGCCACGACCGACGGATGGCCTGTCTGGAGGCCGTCGTGGCGACGGTGACTGGGCACGCATGCAAGGCCGAGCAGTCAGCAGCACTGGCGGCGATTCAGGCGAGAGCTAAGCCAATGAAGCCTTTGTGCGCCGCCGTTGAATCTTGGATGATGCACTTGGGTGAGGTCGATGACTGGTATAAATCCCTTGTCCTCCATGGGCCATCCCGGACGGGGAAGTCGAGACTGGCGCGATCACTGTTCGGCGCGGAGAAGACCCTGGTGGTCGACGCGATGAACGCCCACGAGCCGAATCTGCACGCGCACCGGCGAGGTGCCCACAGGGCTGCGCTGTTGGATGAGATGCAAGGCCCAGATTTCATCACCAGGACCAAGAAGCTGTTGCAGATGCACATCGATGGCGCAGAGTTGGGCAAGAGCCCGACCATGCAGCGTGCGTACCACGTGTTCGTTTGGCGAACCCCCATCGTTAGCAAGACGAACCACTGCGCGCTGGAGGGCCTGAATGCCGCGGGCCGGGAGTGGGCCGAGGCCAACTGCGTGGCCGTGGAGATCTCAGAGCCAGTATGGGAAGTGACCCCCAGCGCCGAGGCCGCTGCCCAAGGCGAGGCTAGCGCCCCGCGCAACGTGGGGTAGAGGCCAGCATCAAGCCTCACTCCAGGGTCCTCGCCGCAGCTGAAGCGCGCCTGAAAAAGGGGAAAAAAACGCACGCAGACGCAGACGCACGCACGGCAGAAGGACAGGCGTCCACACGGACACACACACACACACACACACACACACACACGCGCACACGCACACGCACACGCACACACACACACACACACACAAACATCAACACACACGCAGGCACACGCAGACACACACACACACACACACAAACACACACACACACGCACGCACAGACACGCACCCAGACACGCACGCACGCATAGACAGTCGCAGACACACAGAGTCGGGCAGACACGCGCATACATAATGTTGCGCAATGGCGGAGTCGACATCTCGACCTTGGCGGAAGTTGGCGGAGGGGCCGCGGAACGCGGCGGATTGCCCCTTTCATGATGTTGATGATTTTGGTTATGATGATTGCGATGGTTATGATGATGATGACGACGACGATCATGGTGATAATGACGATCTTGATGATGATGTTCACCATGACGATTACGATGGCGCTGGTGACGATGATTATGGTTATGCTGATGATGATAACAATGATGGTGATGATGGGTATCATCATGATGATGACGACCATGAGGATGACGCTAATGATGATGATGCTGATGATGGGGATCATGATCAGGACTCCCGTTGAAGACAAGAGACGAGACGAGGGCAAGCGGGCACGGCGCGACACGAGGGCAAGACGAGACGAGGGCGAGCGGACAAGAGGGCGAGACGAGGGCAACAAGTCCGTCCAATCTCCATGCGCAATGACGACGACAAAGAACACCCACCCCCCACAGAGCGAAGCAAAACATGTCGAGCGGTCAGCTAACGCGCGCGATGCTTGCCATCCACACCTTTGGACAAAGGCGTCCGAGAGCTATGGGGGGACCCGCCCAGAGACCTCTTAGAGCCATGCGGGCGCAAAGGTTTCGAAGACGCACCGGCCATTCCCCTTTGGGAGATCGGCGCAAGCTTGAATTGACACGACTTCTGGCGATCAGGCACTGAAGTAGAAGAATCAGAAGGCACCTCAGATGCGGAAGAGGCAGGAGGCAAGCCAGCTGCGCAATCGTTGAACAGGCCGTCGTACTCAGCGTTGCTCTCCTTGACACCGTCCTTGATCTCGCCCTGCATCTGTTTGAAGCCCCGCGAGAGGTTGGACGTGTCATCTAATAACAATTTGAGCTGCTCCAAGACTGTTTGGAAGGAAGAGCGAACCCAAGCCTGGAAGATGTCCTCGGGGACCACGGGGGCATGAAGACCAGAGAGACCATCAGCACACTCCCCTGCGCTGGCAATAGGACCATCACTGCCACAGTGAGGAACCACACGATGAGGAGGAACTGCAATGCCACCAGGAAGAGTCGCAGATCCATGGTCAGCGTCGCGGCTTGCAGAGAAATAGTCACGGTCAGTCTCCACGAACTGCTCCATCTTCTTCTCCACGAGGGTCGGCTCGTCGCTGTCGCAGTTGGCGTCGAAGACACGAGCGCCGATGCCAGGGAGACCATCGCGAGAAGAACAAGGACGATCACTGTGACCTGGACCATTGGCACCAACACCTGCTTCAACAAAGGGATCGACGCAACGATCATCTGGAGCGCCGCAAGCTTGACCTTCAGTACGTCCTTTGATCTCGGCTTCGAGCGCAACGATGATTTGGCGAACTCCTTCCTCGCAAAGTTTTCGCTCCATCCCACGAGGGCGTCCAGCTCGCGCAGGCGGCGTCGCGTCCTCGAAGAAAGGCCCAAAGGTTTGCCGCCCGAGGCGACGCCTTGCAAGGGCCTGCCAAGCGCCTCAGTCAGGACCAGAAGCGCCCGCCGATGAAGGTCAGCAGCCAACAGATGGACATCGGACCTCCGTTGCACGACCACGGCGTCCAGAAGCGAGACACAAAATCTGAGAATAGTAAGAGTGGCAAAGCGCGAACCCTCGCAGGCCGGCCCGTCTTGTGCCCAAATGGCTACGGATGATGATGGGGATCATGATGATGATGATGATGACGATCAAGATGATGATGGTAACGATGGGCGACCCCTCTCTAAAATTCGAGCGCTCCGCGCGGGCTCGGTGGCGGGGGAACCGCAGGCCCCCGAGCGGGGCGGCGGGCTCCCCTAGTAATATAAATTGATCCCGGGGTATGACCAAAAATGGTGCTCTCGCATAGGACTTCCGCGAAAACGAGCGGCTTCCGGAGCGGTTTCCGGCGGTTGCCCATTGGTTTCCGGAGGTTTCCGCGGTTTCCGGCAACTTTCCTTATGTTTCTCGATGCGCCGTAACAAAAAAATGGTCTCCTATAAATGTCCTGAAGTTTCCGCGGTTTCTGGTAATTTTCCATTGCGTCTTTCGATGCACCGAAAGCAAAAACGATGGTTGCCGATGGGTTTCATGAGATTTCCGCGGCTTCTGGTCATCTTCCGTTGCGCCTCTCGATGCACCGAGGGCATGGTTGCTGGTTTCGCTTGAGACACTCTCACCAACCAGCTGATATGCCCCCAGGAATCAGAGGCTTCCTGGTAGGCGTCCGAATGCTGACGTGACTTTCGCGCTGCCTCCCGCGGCTTCCGCTTGCAAGCGCGCGAGCTGTCGCCGCTCTCGCCGCCGCGTCCGCGGCCGTTTCGGCTCAGACGTTCCGACGACCGCGGCGCCACTGAGGTTCGATGGGATGATGATGACGTCCTCCCCAAACGCTTTACAGATCGCCAGGCCGTCGGCGAAGAACGGGCGCCTGCGCGCGCGGGGGCGGGCGAAGGCCCGGGGGCTCCAAGGGGCCTGGCGCGCCGAGGGCAAGAAAGGCCAGGCCGGGCTCCGCCTGCACGTCGCTGGCTTCCCGCAGAAGTCGCTTGGCGGGAAGCCGCGAGGCGGCTCGCCCAGCGCCCGGGCTATGGGGCAGCTGTTCCAGAGGATGGACGACGACCTTGATTGGCTCCCTGGGAAGGGCTGCGCGGAGGCCGCCCCTGGCCCGAAGCGCCTGCTCCGAGGCGCAAATGCGACCGCGATCGCTGCGGCCGCAAAGAGGCTGAAGACCAGTGGAGAGGAGCCGGCGTAGTCCTCCAAAGCGGCTGCGTGCCCGACAGCGACGCTGAACCCGAGTACGGGGCAGCCCGTCGACAAGCACCTTGTCTACCGGGTTTTCACGGAGACGCGCCGCGACGAGGACCCAGACGACACCTGGCAGAACATGGCAAGATTGTCACGGCCCGCATCAGACCCTGTATCGCAGAATCGCAGGTTCCAGGGAGTGTCCAAGCGCGTCGGTATGATTGTGAGCTTATCACAACATGGTTTCAGAACTCGCTGCGATCTGCTAACCTGCTACGGCCGTTCATGCGGTTCAGACAGCCACTGTTCTGAGGACGCGTCGGGGCATGCCTGCATAGCAGACTGGGGCGAGGCAGTCCTTGCTCAAAGGTTCACTTTCGCTGTGCACACGCGGGCGAACAAGCGCGCGGACTCCCGGTAGTACAACAACGTCGCGCGGTGCAACCTCTGCAATACATACTCCCGAAGACGCAGAAAATGGCAAAGGAGCTCGCGCTGGCCAGGAAGGCTGGCAAGGCTTGGATGAGCAAGTGGTCCAAGGGCAAATCGGCGAATCTGCGGATGCCTAAGGCAGTGCAGAAACTGAACAGCTCCGACACGCAGAGAGTCTGGTGGACCCCCATCATGGCAAAAGGCAAATTCCACATCAAGGCGCTGCCGGACGATTTCCCTGGGGAGACGCCAGGCGGCGCCGCCGCGATGGTCGGCCGCGTGAGGGTCGCGTCGAACGTCCGCTACCAGGGGGCCCGCGCGCCGAAGGCGGTGTTCACGGACCGCGGCAGCGGCTTATTCGGGGCGGGGAACGGCAAGATCACGAAGGAGTGCAAGAAAGCATTGGCAGCGGCGCACCTGAAATCGTTCTTCGGGGACGACGCGTCCATCCAGCCCGGCAACTTGCAGGAGATAATGCTCCACGAGACTGCCGCGGCTTGGACCAGGGGCCGCCTCGCGAAAACCTTGCCGCGGCGCCCTTGGGAGGAGGCGCCGGACGACTACCGCGGGCGCCTGAAGCTGGTCGCAGCGCACATCAACGACCAGCACGACGTGGACAACCTGTGCCGCGAGCTGCCAGCGCGCGTGCATGCCTTGTGGCAGAACAAGGGAGACCGGATTACCAAGTAACCACGGGGCCTTGAATGCAAGTCGAGTTATGATTACGAAGTAATCGCGGGCTCTTGAGACGCATTGCACTGTGTCAAAGACTTCTAGTCGACAAGATCTGCTCGGTGACTACCATCCCCGCCGACATTGCCGCCGTCGACGTCATCTGCAACACCGTCGTCGCCGATTCTGTTGCCGCCAGGATCACCGTCGACTGCCAAGAACTGATCATATCTCAGACAAAACACACCGAACAAATCTGAAGCGCGACCTTCCCCAGTCTGAAAGGTCCATGTTGGACCTGTCTGAAAGCCAGCACAGGCCGAAGGGGATGGGAGATGAGTGGAAGCCGCCTCTGCAAATCGCTGTTACATGCCCTAGTACCGAAGATGATGCGAAGCTGACCGTGTCGCTTCGCGACGAAGAATACCCCTAACAGCCCAGACCGGGAGGACTCGTGACGCCACGTAACCATTCCACACTTCTGGAGCTGAAGCACAAAAAGTCTCGGTGGAGGGACGGAGAACGGAGGGCGGGGTCAACGTGGGGACCGTTCGCGCAGATCGAACGGCGCTGCTTCTCTGCCACATCAACAAGCAAAAGCAAATTATCACGCCACGACCTTAGCCAATCACGATCGAACTGAGACAGACAAGACTCCACGGGGGCGGAGCTGCTTCCGACCTCAGGCCACCACACGATGGCGCGCATAAGGCCTGCGGGTAGACCTATGGGGATGCATAGCTGACCCGGCAAGAAGCTCACGGAAGGCTTCCTTTCTAGTTAAATCGGCCGGCTGGGCTCCCACCTGTTTGGAACAATCCAAAATGTGCTGATGCGCGACGCGCTGAAACGAATTGAGACAGGGAGGAGGGGGGCCAGGAGGACTGGAACAAGAGGCTTGCGGGAACCCATAGAGCTGGTTCAGGCTGCCAGTGGAAGCGCTCGCCCAATCCACCATGCGCGCACGGCGGCGTCCCCCCTGCTTAAAAGCGTGACAAGCGCGGCCCGGGCGAACAACGCCAGACCGACTAGGCAACAGAGGCAGCGGGAACAGGTCTCTCTGGCGGTCAGCTCTCTGCGGTGCCGATGCCGAGGGCGAGAAAAGAGGAGGAGTGGAGTCGTCGCTCTGCGGCTCGTTGATCGGCCCCGGGCACCCCCTCCGATGCGCCTGGCGTCTCCCTGGGTCACAGGGCGCGGCCGCAGGGGCGGCGCCGCCACCGCCTGCATCCCCGCCAGGCGGGTTGAAGTGGCACACGAGCGGCAGCGGCAGGCACAGCACACCCAGATGGTGAGCCCGCAGCATCGCGCATGCGTCGATCACCGCCTGGGCCGGCACCGGCCGAAATCCGTAGACCTGCCCAGCGACGACCCCAGGCGGCACCTCCCTAGCGTATGCCAGGATGTGCACACTGACGAAGTCCAGCCCGACGGTATACAACTTCTCGTAATCAAGATCGGGCGTGAGCACGTGGGCGTCGAACGACCCTGGGCGGACGGCCAGAACCAACCTCACGTGGTGCACGAGTGGGCCCGGGACGCCTCGGTACTGCACCATCACGTAGCTTCCCGCATTGAGCGCCATCACGCTCGAGCTGCAGCGCCTCGGTTCCTCACGAACGACAGCTGCGCCCCCGCCTGCACCTCGAGCGACTCGACCGCCTCCTTCACCACGACCGTGGGGCCTGGCACGTACCCGGGACGCCGCTCGAGGGTCGGGAGCCCCCACTCCGAGCCGAGCACGTACACGCTGATGACCAGCAGCGCCAACACCGCCACCGCGCCGGCCACGGCCAGCGGCGACGGCGTCTCACAGATGCACGTGGTCGCCGGCACCGCGGGGCAGAGCAGGACTGGGGCGCAGGGCGGACAAAGCTGGCCCACGCCCCACAATGCCGCCCCGGTGCTGTCCCCGCGCGCGAGCTCCACGATCGTGGCGCGGGCGACTTGAATAGCCGGAAAAAAATTGAGCGATCGTGTCAGTGGACGGCGGTGCTCCAACACCGCAGACAACATTCCCGAGCAAGCACATCCATACTACGTATAATCATAAATTGCTGTAAAAAAACAAACGCTAGAAAAATGTGCATCGTAGCAATGAGAATTATGATACATAGAAGTCGGGCTTGCAATACCAGTGGTGTTTGTGTCATAGTATTGACAGCACTAGTAGTAGCACAAGGAGAAGAAGCAGCAGTATTAGTAGCATCGAACGTAGCATAAACAACACCAGTAGTAGCAGGGGTGCAGTGAGAGCAGCAACAGTTGTCCGACTCCTCCTTTAAAATGTCATGCCCACTCTGCAGCTGCCACGGGGGATGTTCGGATTACGTTGAAGCTACGTCGAAGGCCTCGTGACCCCGCACAGACCTGCAAGGCTTGCGGTACGCGCCATGGCCATGCCGAGATCGTCATGTCGAGAGCTTCACTGCCCCCCCTTACGTCAGGTCCCCCAAAATATGTAAGATTGCGCAAAACATGTTGAGGCCAGACTAAGAGGCCCCCGCGATGAGGGCCCCACTGCCCCCTGGACGCGGTGCCCGCTTAGTCTCCGATGATGCGGCATTATGTGTTGAAGCCATGCTGAAGCCTACGCGGTCAAGGCCGCCACGTCGCCACACGCGGTCCCCCCAGCGTCCTCAAAGGATTACTCCGCTAGTTGAGGCGATGTTAAGGCCCTCGCGGTCGAGGCCTCAACGTCCCCAGGCGTGATCCCCGCGCACTCCTCGAGGATATCTTGCGCATGTGAAAACAATGTTGAAGCCCTCGCTGCCAGGGCCTCAGTGTCTCCCAAGCATGATTATCGCAAAGTCCCTGCGGCGCGACGGCGGCGAGGGCTGCTGGCGAGATTCAAGTAGGCGCCCAGCCAACAAAAGAAAGCCTGCCTCGCGCGGGTCGCAACGCCCTCGAGCCCTCGAGCATCGAGGGAGGCCAAACACGACGCACGTGCCGAGTGGCGGCGGCCGCGCTTCCCCGCGCTGGGCGCAGCCCGTATGCGCGCTCCCGCGCGAGTTTGTTAACAACGCGCAAAAGTTGCCCAGAACCCTCTGTGACCCCAGGGGCCTGGGGGGCGCTTGACATGGCATCAACAATCAACCATGTATAATCCCTTGGTCATCGAGGATGCCTTGTGCGTTTTGAAGCCATATTGATGCTACGTTGAGGCCCCAAGTCAGGGCCCCAACACCCCTCAGACGTGACTCCCGCAAAGTCCTCGAGGATGCCCCGAACATGCTGAGGCCCAACCCGACTTTGGCTACCAAACGTCCACGGGATGCTCGAGGGGGGCCTCCCTTGGGGATCCCAAAACGGTGCGGTTACAGTCCGTGCGCTGACCTCGGAATCCCCAGCGGCCTCACCGCACCGCTCCGCCACCGCCCCTGCCTGGGACCCTGGAGGCCCGAGTGGCCCCGAGACGGCCTCGGAGAACGGCCCGAGTCCAGAAACCGCGCGGTTACCCCGAAGATCTCCTCCTGACTCACCGCACGCGGGGGCCACCGCACCGTTCGGGGCCCCCGGCTCGACGTGCACCTCAGCGCAGTGGACCCGCGGCAGCTGCGGCGCGCGCACGGCTCGCTGCCGCGAGCCAGCCAAGACCCGCGCCCAGGCTCCCGGGCGGCGCGGCAGGCTCCCGGCCGAGCAGCCGCCGCCGCGCGAGAGTGCTCGGCGGCCTCGGCCCGCCCAGCCCGGGGGGGGGGCCGCTGGCGGCCTGGGCCCAAGACGCGTGGGCCGGTCCGAGTGGCCGTGGGATGCGTAGCGATGCCAGCGCGGGGAGAGTGCCCGCGTCGAGCAATGGCCCAGGACAGCCGAGTTGGGAGACGGCTGACGCAGGAGTGGCGGAGTAGGAACGAGGCGCGGCGTAGTCGTGTCAGGATGTATGATGATGCGCAGCAGTCGGCTGCGACTGCGACCGACAGTAAGAATGATGGTCACCATGGTCCTGCTGGTACTGCTCCTGCTGCTGCCCCTCGCCCACCTCCATTCCCCTCGTCTAACCCCGTGCCCTTGCCGTCGTTGCAAAGGACTTCCATCTCCCAGGGATGAGGAGGAGGAGGAGGAGGAGGAGGAGGAGGAGGAGGGAGAGGCAGGAGGACGGAGAGGGTGGAAGAGAGGAAGGAGGAGAAGCGAGGAGGAGGGACAAGGACGGAGTGAGGGGGAGGAGGGACGAGTGGAGGAGGGGGGAGGAGTGGACAGGGCAAGGATGAGGTTGGCCACTCAGCCTTCTGGAACGCTGATCTCCTCGGGCGCTTGTCCGCCGTAAAGACCGTCGTTCTGCGGAAACGATGCCGATAACCTCGCGAGCTGGGCGGCGCGCTGGCTAGGCGGAGGGGTCTGCATGCGGAAGTCCTCCGCCTCCGCATACAGGCCGATGAACTCGTCGTCGTACGCTTGCTCCTCTCTGAAGTCCGAGGACAAGCCCGAGGACAAGCAATGGCGCCACTTCACCACCTATTGAGGAGGAGAGGAAGACGCTCTCCTCCTCCCTCCGAGTCCCTCGTCCATACTTCTTCTCCTCATCCTCCTCCATGTCCTCGTTCTCCTCCTCCTCCTCCTCCTCATCCTCCTCGTCTTCACCCTCCTCCCCCTGAACGGCTGAAGAATCACCCTCAGAACGACCACCCGTACAAACGAGGCTCATTCGAAAACGCGCCTTCCACATCGGCCGCGAAAGGGCCGTCTAGCAAACGCACAGGACCGCTCAACAAACACGCCAGTAAGGGGGTGGGGTGGTCTGTCCTCTCTCGACATCCATCCTCGCCATCCTCCCTGTATCACTTTAGGAAGAGTAGGGCCTGGGGGTCTCCTGCCGACGAGGGCGGCCTCGACCCGGGCTGCCGCGTCAGGCCCAGCGCAAGCGGCGAGGTGTTCGCCAGCCGCGGAAGAGAATGTGGGTGGGACGCACCCTGCCGCGGAACCTCGTGGAGAAGATGGCCAGGCAACGCCAAGATAGGTCACCACCAGGGGGATCGACGACTCCCCCAGGAGACTACCCCTGGAGCCACCAGATTCCCCCACACACCCCAGAGCCTCCTCGATCCTCGGTCCTCCACGGACGCCCGACGTCATGATCTTTCGCTGCGTGGTCCCCAAAGGTCTGGACCCTTGCTGGGAACTGGCGTTCGATCCCGAGTCATTCCTTGACGCTCCTGGGGCCCAGCGAAGGCCCCAGGCCCCCAGAGGCCGACAACGACCAAAAACCTCTCTTCGTCATTTCTGTCACGGCGAAGGGGGAGAGCATTCTGTTACGCATGGAATGAGTACCAATGAGAACGGTCAAAGATGAGGCGATGGTGCCTCTTTTGGTATTGGGCCATCTATGATGCTCATTCGTGCCCGCACCGTCCCGTTTCGCATCCCCCGAATGGTGGGATGGGAAGACGGGCCGCCCCCCCTGGCACTGCACGTACGGGCCCCTTGTCTAGGTAACACGATGCCAGGTTGAGGACAAAATCGGGTGAGGGTAAATCGAGAATCGCCGATGTCCAGCGCCTCTGAAGAATGTATCGGGCGCAGCGGCCTTCTCAGAGCGTTCCGCCACGCTCTGAAAGCGTTCCGTAACGCTCGGAATAGATTTGTCCTTGTCCTTGTCTGGGTCATTTCCCCCTCTGGGGAAACCAAAAGGTACCGGTAGCAGTATAGGTACCTCCTCCTCCTCAGGTCCTCCTCCTCCTCCTCCTCCTCCTCCTCCTCCTCCTCCTCCTCCTCCTCCTCCTCCCCCTCTTCCTCTGACCACCGATCCTCGCCTTCCAGGAGGTGGCGAAGCCCCGCCGGTGGTGGCGCCCCCTCTTTGGCGCTGCCTGGGGATGGGTGAGCGGATCGCGCCGGTCCTGGTGCGGCGTCTCGGCCTCGGCCGGCCGGCGCGAGAGGCCGAGAGTAGGGCGACGAGATCTCATACCTAGACATGATCGCGTCGTGAAAAAAGTCCAGACGGCAGGTTTTCGGCCAATTTCTGCTTCGGGAGACTCCCTCGACGGGCCTCGGGACCGTCAGAAGACGATTCGGAATGAAAAACCGGTCCGGGGGAAAGGGTCGGGACTTCCACGGACCCCGCACTCAGAAAAAATCTGGACGTCGCACGTCTGGGTAATTACCCATCCACTGCTCCCTGGCCAGGCCCACCCTGACCCCCGCCAGCGGTGTATGTGCCACGCCCCCCTGGCTTCACCAGAAGGGCGTTTTTCACAGCACCCAGGTTCCGGATGGGCCTGGCCAGGGACCAGTGATATGTGCATATACGTCGTTCATGTCTAATCGTGCTCATTTCTAATTGCGCTCGCTTCTAATTGTTCCCGGCCCCCTAGTGGCCAGGAAGAGGCCCAGGATAGAACAAGTAGAAATGAAAGGACCTTGTCCCCCCAAAACATCGAAAAAAAAACTCGAAAGGAACAGTGCACATATAGATCTCGGCGCCGGGGCTGGGTGACGGGGCGAGGCGGGGCAGCGGCGGGCGGAAGCGGGGCAAGGCTTCGGGCGACGCGCGGGCAGCACCCCCGGGTGGTCCTGGCTGGCCTCAGCGGGCCCCCCGAGCAGTCCTCGGCGGAGTCTCGACACCCCGGCGCGCCGCCTGCCGCGGGACCCCGAAGGGAACTCCGCCGCTCCGCGCCCGAGGGCTGGGGTGCCGAGACCGCCCGGGACTGCTCGAGGGGGCCTGTCAGGGCCCGTTGAGGCCAGCCAGGGCAAGGATATGATAGTTTTCGACATCACTGTTGACGGTGACCCCGCGGGCAGAATTGTAATGGCACTGTTTGCCCACGTGGTTCCTCAAACCGCTCGAGAAGGGGCCGTCTGTGCGCAACCCCCGATGCCCTCCCGCCGAAAATACGAGCAAGGAAAACAACACTTAAGAAACCTAGGCCATCTTTCCGAGGTTTCGTCCCACAAACCTATGCCACATCTGGTGGTCCGCGCTGGAGGGACGAACGTGCTGAAGAAAACTGGGCCCAGCGTTTCGCCCGTACCAGGCCAGAGTCGATCTGATCAGGCCTGCGGTGCGGTCGAAGTGTGGCCGCGTGAGCGCGGGTCTCGGGGACACCGGCCCCTGCACCCGAGGCCAGAGGGGCCCCACGAGGGCGTGTGGGACGAAGGGCACTCCAGGGTGGAAAGCCCAAACACAAGGGACATAATCGGATGCTCGTTCTGGGGACCTTTCTGGAATCACTCGCTCAGGTCATGCGTCGGTGCTGCGTCGAAGGTCGGTCAAGCCGAGTCGGTGCTGAGTCGACCTTCAGCCAAAAATGGAGACGCCACATGTTGAAAAGGAACCGCCCTCCATCCATGAAACAGTTGCAAGTGTTTAAGACGAATGCGCGCGGCTAAGGCGAGAGCCACGAATGCGGACCGCTCACCATCCGTGAAACTCCAGCAGATGTTTAAGAAACAGAATGTGCGCTGCGCTAGGGCCAGAGCCACATTTTGAATACGGACCGCCCTCCATCCGTGAAGCTCCTGCAAAAGTTTGCGCGGCGGTAGAGCGAGAACAACGTTTTAAAAGCCGACCACCCTCGATCCGTGAAACTGTTGTAAATTTCAACCTTCAGGATCTTAAAATTGTGAGGACGTCTCAGGCGAAACGCCTGGCGGGCTCTTTCGACCGGCCTGGGGGTGCGACAGGGAGGAATTGTCTACAAGGAAGAAGGAAGTAAGGAGGGCTGGGACGCTTTTCGCACGAAGGAGACGGGTCCTTTAGAGAAAAAAAAAAAAAAGGTCCCAGAGGCCCCGTCCAGGCGTTCGGGCCCCCGGTGTGTGCCCTCCACAGGTCCCAGGGCCGGCAAAAACAGCTCGGGACGAAGAGCCGGTCCTTGGCAAAGCCCACGGTCTGGTATAAGACGACGTCAGGACGATATTAAAATCGGGAAAGGGACAATCCAGCACCTCTGAGATCTGGCAGATCTGGAGGATTTCTCGGGCTCCGCGGCCTTCTCAGAGCGTTCCGGATCGCTCTGAGAGCGTTCCGGAATGCTCTGGAACGGACTCATCCTCGTCCCAGCCCAGCCCGAGAACTGGTCCTGGGCAAAGCCCCGTGGTCTGGTGCCTGTTTCACTCAGGACCTCTGTAACTTCATGGTGGGGGAGGGGAGGACGAGGACGAGGACAGGGACGAAGAAGAGAGGGAGGGGAGGAGGAGGGGGAAGGAAGTGGGCTACGACAGCGCAGGGAGGCGTCAAGCAACCGGTCGTCGAGAGCGAGAGGTGGGCAGAGGCATCCGCCCTCACCCTGCGCCCCCTCCAGGTCGAGGGAGGGACACTGTGGCCGAGAAGGCACGAGCGGGTGAGCGCGAAGAGGGAGGACGAGGAAGAGGAGGAGGAGGAAGAGGAGGAGGAGAGAGGAAGAGAAGGAGGAAGAGGAGGAGGAAGAGGAGGAAGGATGGCATTGGGGAGGAGGAGGAGGAGGAGGAGGAGGAGGAGGAGGAGGAGGAGGAGGAGGAGGAGGAGGAGGAGGAGGAGGAGGAGGGGGGAGGAGGAGGAGGAGGAGGGGGAGGAGGGGAGGAGGGGGAGGAGGGAAGGAGGGGGAGGGGGGGGAGGAGGAGGATGAGGAGGAGGAGGAGGAGGAGGAGGAGGAGGAGGAGGAGGAGGAGGAGGAGGAGGAGGAGCAGCAGGAGGAGGAGGAGGAGTAGGAGGAGAACGAGAAGGAGGAAAAGAGGCGAGGAGGAGGAGGAGAGGGAACAGGAGGGAGGAGGGAGGAGGAGGACGAGGAGGAGGAGGGGATGGAGGAGGAGCGACCCAAGGGCGCAGGAGCGGGAGAGGCTCGGCAGGAGCAGCCCGCCCCTGCAGCGCGGGCCGCGGCCCGCCGCCGAGGCCGCGGCTCTCTGCGTCGGCGGCGCCGACCAGAACATGCCCCGCGGGGCCCCGCGCGGCCCAAGCAGCCGGGCGGGCACGGGCGGCCCGATGGGCTGCCAGAGCCACAGACGCGCGCCGACCCGAGGTCCCTCTCGCGGCGGTGCGCCGAGAGGGGAGGGGTCGAGGCCCATGTTTTGATGGTAGCAGCTTTCCTTCGAGAAGCGAGGCAATGTATGACAATCCGCCGCCCCTCAGGCGGGGGGGGGCATCACCAGACCGCACGACAAAGACACGACCACACACGTGCACAGCACGCCTGAGAGAAACAAAACGCCCCGCGATGGGAAGAACTATTTTGGGGGATTCCTGAAACCAGTCTCCTATCACTGGCGCGCCTGAGGGTGGCACGCCAGGTTTCCGAAACAGGCATGTAGCAAGCAGAAGCGTAGTTCGCAGTGAATGCAAGGGGAAGCATCAGCGCAGCGCGCACCCGAACCGTAAGCAGTTCGGGCCGTGAACTGCCTCGCGCGGCGTGCGTCGCAGCCATCGTGGCTTCGCCTTGACCCTCAGAGCAACAGCGTACTGCAACAACAATGCAAAGCAGTGCATGTTTGGGGGGGAGACTCGGAGCTCGAGGTCTTCGGGCGCCATCGCGTGCTCTCGGCGCTCCTCCGGCCTGCTCTGGCAGCTGCGCCTGGCCAGGGGGCGATCCGAGGACATGGCCCCCAGAAGCCGCCCCGCGTCCGAAAGAGAGATTGGCGGCGCGCACAAGGGGGGTCGGGGGAGGGGGGAAGACTTCTTGGAAGGAGGCTGCTTCTTAGCAGGCGCCGGCTCTACATCTACAAAGGAGTCCCGCGTCTTCTAAGAAGCAGGGGTGCTCCTGAGAAGCCTCCCCCCCTCCCCCCTACCCCCCCCCCGCGCGCCGCCAAGAGAGAGGGGCGTGTCGTCTCCAAGGCGGCGGGGCTTCTCGGAGGCCCTCCGGCCCTCCGGGCGGAGCCCTCGCTGTGGCCGCCATGGGAGGGCTCCCCGGAGGGCTTCTCCCAAGAGCGGGGACGCCCGGAGCCTGCGGAGGAGGGCCCGCCCCCTCCGCCGCCTCCCTTGCTGGGCGCGCCGCCGGCCTTGTGAAGGGGCCTCAGGAAGCACAAATCAATAGACACAGATAACAGGATTCCCCATATCTTCACGTGTTTCCTGGGTTTTTGTCTTCCCCCCCACTTCCCGTATTTTCCCATTCCTTCTGCGGAATCGACGATGAATTGTGTCTGTGTTTTTTTCCCTCCTGACCTTGGTCCTCCCACCCCACGCCTGGAGTCGGACATGTCCCTCTACAGGAGGAATGTTCAAGAGTGGTCATAAAAGTCAGGGGACGACGTTCGATTCTGTTTTGACTGCTTCTGAATGCTGATCTGGCTATGTTTCTTTCTTCTTCCGCAATGGCCCTCGCCCTCCTCGCGGTCCCTCGCGGATCTCGTGGGTCGGCGCAGGACCCCCTGGCGGCGGCGACTCCAGCGCCGCCCCCCCCGCGCGCCTCGTGCGCGAGGGATGGGGGGGCCAGCGCCGAGCCGACAACATCCGCGCGGGCCTTTTCTCAACGTTTGTGTGGGAGCTGCAGCGGAAGAGGAGCGTTCGCCTACACGCGAGGGTGACCCCAGGCAAGAGTGGCCGTTGGTGCGCAGCTTCGCTGCGCCCGGCAGTGAGACAACACACAAGCACAAGCAAGTGCTGAGGGAGCCCTGTGGGCCCGCTCCAGAGGTCACTCCAGCGAAGGGCCACTCTGACGCGTAGCCGAGGGGTACGGCCAGTTCGCGCCACGTCGACGCGGCGGCGACCCCAGCGCGTGCATTCTGAACACCGTCGGTGGCCTGGAATCGGCCGACATCGAACGTTTCCGCGGTGCCGGAAAGCCAAGATCGTTCAAGATTGAGCGAACCACGCAGTGTCAGAAACCAGTGCTAAAGCCGGCACGACGTGAGCCAGCCCCCTTGGCCCAGCGGGGGCCCCCAAGAGGCCGAAAACGGTGAGAATCCACAGCTGCAGCGAGAACGGCAAGCAGCAGCGCAGACCACACAACCTGCAGTGCGAAACAGCTGCAGTGCAGCATAACATGCTCTGTGGGTGGGTCGAGGGCGCCGTGGGCTGCACGCCTCCCCTGGACATCTCTAGTCGTCTCACTCGCGGGAACCAAAGCTAACGCGAGAACGGCAAAGCTGCAGCTCGGCGGCGAGAGAGGGGGGAGAAGGAGAAGGCCTTCTCAGAGGGCGGCCGTACTATCCGAGTACCCCCACCACGCCCTCGGCGTGGCGCAGCTGCTGGAGCGCACCCCGAGGCCGACGACGACGCCCCAAAACCTCGAACCTCGAACCCAGAAATCCCGAAACTTCCCCGTCTCACTTCCGACGACGACGACGACGACGACGACGACGACGACGACGGCGACGGCGACGACGACAACTTCTCCCCCAGGCGCGCCCCCGAGAGAAAGCCTCCGACGGTCCACGTGAACAGGATCGGGCCGGGCGAAAGGGGGAGATAGCACAGGGGGGGGGTGAGAATCAGCTCACGTAGCTGATTTTCCCGGCGCCTCCCGGCGCCGGAGGGCGCCCATGTATCGAGGAATGGGCCCGGCGGCGGGGCCGAAACCAGCTGCATGCAGCAGATTTGGTCACCCCCCCTTTCCCTATCCTCCTCTTTCGTTCGGCCCGAACCGAGGAAGGCCTCTCGATGTCGCTGTGGCCGTGGCTGGGGTTGCGGCGTGGTGCTGGCGCAGTCCGACGCCCGACGCACGGCGTTCCGCCCGACGCGTAGCCCGACGCCTGGCCCGCGGCCCGGCCCGACGCTCGGGTCGGGCGGAACGGGGGGATCTTCTTCGAAGGGAGACCCTGAGATCCGAGGCCCAACCCGACGCTCGGGTCGGGCGAAACGGGGGGATGTTCTTCGAAGGGGGGGACCCTGAGATCCTGGCGTCTCAATTGGTTCGAGCGGGGCGAAGTCGTCAGGGTTCGGGACCCGGGACCCTCACAGGTCGCTCCGGCTCGAAACGTGGCGCAGAAACATGGGGCCTAGCGCGCTGGTGGTGATGTTTCACGATCAATTTTTTCGCGCCGTCGGATCCCGGGGGAGGAGGAGGAGAAGGAACATCCCACCGATTGCTTCCACAGGCGGCGCGTGAGCGAGGCAGTGTGAGACAGGCGGGCTGCACAGTCACGACGATGCACGAGAAGGTCTGTTGGAAGAAGTGGGTAGAAACATGAAGTAGGAGTGTTCAAGGTAGATCGGGTTTCCGACCGCCCCATGAAGGGGAGGGAGGAGGGAAAACCAGTCCACACCTTACGAAGGAAGGTGCCCACAGTAGACTGGGATCTGGAGATCCGAGCACAGCTTGCTTCAACGACCCGTAGGTAAAGGGGGAGGTAGCGAACAAGCTCACGCAGCCGGTTTGCCCAAAGCTTCCCGGCGCCAGAGGCACCAGTGCATCGAGGAAAGCGCTCAGCAGAGGGGCCAAGACCAGCTGCGTGCAGCAGATGCCGCAAGCCCCCCTCTCCTGACCCCCCCCCTTTTCGTCCGGTCCGGAATCCTCCCGCGCCCATTGAACCCGCAGGGGTAGGGTCCGACCCTTGAGCCTTCGATCTCGGCCGTCTCTCGATCCTCAGTCGTCGATCCTCTGATCCTGGAGCTCGATGCCCCCCCCCCGATCCTGGAGCTCGGGAGCTCAATCCTCGAAACTCGAGTCCTCCGAGAAAGCGAAGGTTTCAGAAAACAATATTCACCTTTCTTCCATGTTCGGCGTTGGCTGTCGGACCGTCGCTCAGGTCTCCAGCGGCTGTTCGAGACGATCTGGGCACCTCTGGAACGCTCTCGGCTGCTGGAAAGCACCCCGAGGCTGGCAAACCTGTAGCAATCAACGAAAACTCCCGAGAACATCGGAATTCTCAGAAACCTCGAACCGACAAAACCCCAGACCTCGACAACCGTGGAGAACCGACAAATTAGCCTGTCGTCAGATCCTCGAGCTCGATCCTCGATCCTCGATCCTAGAACCTCCGTCCTGTCATCGATCCTCGACCCTCAACCTCAATTCCCAGACCTCCTACGTCTTGATGTTTTACAGCCTGGTCCCCGAAAGGTCTGGACCATTCCCCCAGACTGGTTTTTCATCCGGGGTTGTTCGTTAACGGTCCTGGGGCCCAATAAAGGCCCCATGAAGCCGAAAACGTCCAAAAACCTCCCGTCCCGATTCCCAAGTAGGGTCCTGGTAGAAAGGGCAGCAGAAGAGTTTCACAGGGGGGATGGGGATACCTAGACCGCCCGGCCTGACAGCTGTTTCGCCTGAGGCCTACTCACAATATATATATATATATATATATATATATATATATATTCAGCAATCGTGCTCCGGCATCAATGCTGGCTACATGTGTTGGTCTGGACGGCAACGGTCCTTTGTTTAACACAGGGGTGCACCTGGCCGTGCTCTCGCCACAATGCCAGCGACATGTTTAGTCCAAACGGCCACGATCCCTTGTAAACGAACACAATAAGGTGCACATGGCCGTGCTCTGCGTGTTCTTCCTGCTCTGCGTGTTGCGACCGCGTGGTTTTATTGTTCTTTCTCCCGCGTGCGACACCTCTACAAAAGAGCACACGCTACTGCCCTTCCGGCTCTTCGTGTTGCTGGATCTCTACTCCCGCGTACGCTTCTGACGCAAAAGTGAACGCCGCCTCGTCACCTTTTCCTGCTATCAGGTGCTTTGCTGGGGTAGCTTTGACACTCTTGGGACCCCGTGAGGGCCCAATGAGGCCGAAGATATCCAAAACCCTCCCATCATGATTTGTGTTTCATTACGCGAGGGGGTCTGGGAAGCTCTCTTCTTTCAGTTTAGTGGTAGCCAACATTGACCCCAAACTGAAAGTATGGCACCGTAGATGTGCAAGCTATGGTGCAAGCTATGTGGTGCAAGCTATGTGGTACAAGCTAACTATGTGGTGCAAGCTAGGTGGTGCAGTATACGTGGTTCAAGGTAAGAGGCGGCCACGAGGCGGCCACGAGCGGCAACGTGTCGAAACCTCACAGACCCGTTTCGTGCAACGGGCGTCTCGTCCCGAGACTTTTTGTTGACGGTCATGGGGCCTTGTGAGGGCCCCATGAGGCCGAACACGTCCAAAACTCGCCAGTCCTGATTTTTCATGACGCGAGAGCGTCTCCGATGCACCGATGCATCGGTGATGTATCCGTGATGCATCGGCGACGTCGGCAATGCTTCGGCGCAGTCGGCATGGAGAAAATCGGGCTCCACATCGAGCCGCATCGCTGAGGCATCGGCGATGCGGCGCGCGATCCTCCGACGCACCCGCGCTGCTCGGACCATACCCGAGAGGCCTACGGTCAGAAACTTTTGCCTAGCGTGTCGCCACGGCGGCCCCGACGACGCGCTATGCCTTGCGAGCGGATAGCGTGTGTCACTCCGCCCCGCGGGGCAGGAAGCGTCGACAAGCTCGGGACGTTGACGCCTGGGGACCACCAGTGGACAGCGTGTCGCGCCGAAGCGTGGTGGGGCCAGCACTGGCGGAGCGACACGCCGAGCAACATGTTCTGAGCGTGTCCCCCCGGGCTCTCGGGTCAGAGCTCGGGCCTCCGGCGGCCGTTCGGGACGGCATCTGAAAGGCATCCCGGGGCCCGAAAGCCGCCGAGCACCAACGGAAGCGTCCGACAACCCCATGGCCGAGGCCAAAAAAATCCTCCTCACCGCCTGTGCCTTTAATCCCGCCGACCTCCCGCGACGCGCGACGCCGGGCGGGCGGCGCCAGGCCCCCCTCCGAGGGCCCCGCGCTCCACCGAAGGCCGGGCCGCTGGAGCTCGCGGGGTCGCCCGCCGGGCTCGCCAGGCAGGCCGCGAGGCGGGGGGCCCTGCGCTGCCGTCGTCGTCGTCGCCGTCACCGTCGCCGTCGCCGTCGCCGTCGGCGTAGCGTCGTCGTCGCCGTCATCGTCGTCGTCGTCGTCGCCGTCGTCGCCGTCGCCCGAGGAGGAGGAGGAGGAGGACAAGACAAGACATGACTCGGACTCAACCTGTCGTCAACTGATCATCTAGGATGAGGGTGAGGAGAGGAGAGGAGAGGAGGAGGAGAAGAGGAGGATGCGGAGAGGAGAGCAGAGGAGGACGAGAAGGAGGATGAGGAGGAGGAGGTGGAGGAGAGGGGGGAGTTGTTTAACTCAGCACCGTGCCCTGGAGGTGCCACCAGGGAAAAAGCCAGATTGTCTGGCAAAGAAAGACCTGCGCGGTGGCCGACGCTGTGGACGGCAAACCCAGGACCCGTCAATCGGAGTCACTAGACCCCGAAGACCTTACGCGAGCAGCCGCCTGCACCAGCGGAGCCTCATCTTCCTCGAGAAGGAGACGCTCCCGAATTGCTTGCAGCTGCTCGCGCTGGCTCCTGTCCAACCCATTGGCGGGAGAGGGCCTGGCAGGAGGGTCGAGGAGAGACCGAGCGGCCTCCTCCTCTCTTTCAAAAGGGTCCGAAAAACAGCACTCCTCCCCCCCAAGACGGACCCCGACGAAGACACATCTGGCCTCGGGATCTTGGGGTAGAAACTCAGAGCAGGAAGCGGATCTGGCACAGCCATCGGACCAGGACGGTCCACCCCACCCGACGAGAACGACGGCTCGACGACAGACACACACTGCTGGCCTTCCGCATCCTGCTCAAAATCATCAGGATTAAAAACTTGACAAGTGACCCCTGAGAGTTTGGGGTGGAGTCCACAGCCGAGCTCGTCGTCGCCATCGCCCTCTTCGGCATAGAAAATATCTTCCCATCCGCGTCCGCATCTTCTGCCCTGGGGCCCAGCGCTGAAGAGCTGAAAGGCCGCACCCCTTGGCGTCCGCGTAGCGGCGGTCCCCTGGCCGGTGACCCGCAGGGGGCAGGAGCCGCGCCGAGCCAGCTCCCAGAGAGGGGGTCGCGACGCGCACCTGTACACGTGCCGCGCTGCAGGCGCCATGCCCGGCTGCAGAGAAGCCGCCCGCTTTTCCCGCATTCGGGCACCGCTGGCGCGTGCGTGCGGAGATACACGCTCGGGGTCGCAGGGTATTCCCCACAGCTAGCGCTGACTCAGCCGAGCGAGCGCCAACTCGGCCGAGCGTGGCGCAAACTGCGGGGAGCACCCTGCATTGCTTGTACGGGGGTGGGGGGGGAAAGGGTGGGATAGCACAGGGCAGGGTGGAGACTCAGCTTGCATGGCTGGTTGTCCTGGCGCCTCCTGGCGCCGGGAGGCGCCCATGCATGGAGGAATTGGCCCAGCGGCGGGGCGGAAGCCAGCTGCGCGCCGGAAATGTCGTAACCCTCCCTTTCCCTATCCTGCACTCTCCTCCGGCCCGAACTGTGACTCTGGTTGGGAGCGATGACTCGACCGAGCGAGCGATGCCTGTTGGCGTCACAAAACGCGACGTCGGCGGCGCTCGGAGAGGCGAGAGCGGGGCACCCGCCCGGGGCTCAGAGACCCTCTGGGGGGCGGAGCCGGAACCGGGCCTGCAGCACTGCTCGCAGCCCATCACTGCCCCCTCCCTCATTCGCCCCCCTTCTCCCTACAATCGAAAATCTGCTGAAGAAACTGCTCATTTAAGAGATCTTGGCCAGCCTTCCGAAGCTCGACTGCATTTTCGCGCAAAGAAGATTGGGACCACCACCAGCACCATCGCGTAGAGCCAAGGAGGGTCCTCCTCGTGGTGTGGTCCCCCAGTTTTGGGGCGCCCTGCTCGAGACACCTCCAATCTCCAGCTCGGGGAAGCATCGCGGTCCTCCTCGTTGGAGGTAGCCCGCGGGTGATGGTGTCGCTTCTCCTCCCTCCGATGTCGTCTCCTCCTCAATTTCCGATCCTCCTCGATTCCACGCAGCAGTTTTTGCAACCTCCCGTTTCCCACACACCCCTGCCCAAACACTCGGCTACGTGATGCTTTCAATCCGCGGGCCCCAGACAACTCGATCCCTTCCCTGGGGGTAGCGTCTCGTCCGAGACCCGTTTTTGATGGTCCCCTGGCCGGATGCTGAAATCCGCAGATAAAAAGGTGCGGGCTGGAAGCAAACACGACGCTGGAGGCTCCTGGAAAAGAACGGCCGACGCTTCTCAATCCCGACGACTCCGTTTCCTCGATCCTCGATCCCCCTCGATGCTCGTTCGAGCCTCCTCGATCCCTCCTCGGTCCCCCCTCCTCGATCCGCTCCCTGCTCGGTCCCTCCTCGATCCCTTCTCGATCCCTCCTCGATCCCCCTTTTTCGATCCCCCCACTGAGGGCGGCCGGCCCGCGCGGACCCGTGCCTGCTGCTGCGCGGCGTCTGGTCGTGGGGCCCGAAGCCGAACCTGCAGCTGGGCGACGCCTCCCACTGCGCCCGCACGGGTGTGGCCTCTGGGGCCGAAGCGGGGAGGCGGCTCGTCGAGGGAGCTGCTGTCCCGGACCCCGTCAGATCCTGAAAACATACGACGGGGGGGGTTGGGCAAGTTTCGGCCTCGGCGGGGACCCCGGGGAGCAGATCCGCCATAGTCATAGACCAACCCAGAGGATCACAATATTATAGGTTGACGTATCCCCTTTTTACTCAGAAATCAACATGTAACATGAGTAAGCAATTATCATAAGGTGGAATCAGGTTACGGCGATAATGGTGGGTAGCCATGTTGCAGAGCAGACGCACAGCTATGTCTGTATACATATATATACATATATATATACATACATACATATACACCTACTTTCTTACATGCATACATATATACATTCATACATGCATACGAACATATACACACATGCATACATTTCTATTCGAAGAGGTAGCACAAGAAATACCACGAGTGATACATTAGTATTGTTGGTCGGCGTAGATGGTTGTTGTTGTTGGTGGTGACTGTTGTTGGCCATTGTTTGTTTCTTGGTGTATGTTGCATGCTGTTTGTCGTCGTCGCTCTCGTTCACGACCCACCCGCGACCCGCCGAGAGACACGCCCGCGACCCGCTCACGGGCTCGCTGCTCTGCAACAAAAAGGTTGCTCCTTGTTTCGGACCCCGCCCCCTAACATGCCCCGCAAGTTCGGAGAGCGCTAGCGCGAACCGAACAGTATAATGTTTGCACGAGGGCCCCGGACCATCGCCAAACGCGATGATAAACCACTTACACAAAGCAACCCTAGGCGAAGTACGAACGAGACAACTCTCGGATATCTCGAAAAGCAATATTACCAAATCCTCGCCTGCATATGTCCAACGGTATCTCGGGTTGCCCCCATATCGGGGCCGAGTCACAGGTAAAGCGTTCTATCAGATGGACCTGTGGTGCGTAGTTCCACGTTCTCTGGCCTCGCACGAACGACTCCGCCGACAGAACAGCGAACAGCCTGGATATGCTATAGCCGACGATTGCAAACTTAGTTTTCTCGTCGTCCGTGAAGAACTGGCCAGCTCCTGCCATGATGTTGCAAAATTCAATTAGTTGCTCTGCCCCGCGCCCGTTGCCACTGGAGAAATGCTTGGTCACGATGAATACACACTCTGCGAAGTATCGCGTTGTTGCTGACTTTGCTTTGAATATCGGGCACGTTCCGCATTGTCGAAACCGCCCTCGCGCGAGGCCCCCCCGCAGTCGCACAGGGCACCTTGTAGATCTCTACCATGCTTCTAAGTTTGCACTGAGATTGCCAACGTTTCATCGATCGCGGTGCCTCCCCACAATGCTCGACGACTGACTCCCACGGGATATTTCCGACGATCGTTGCCGACATGCCGATGCATGCCGCGTGGGGAGCGCCCACAAGCAAGCATTCCAATCGAAATCGGATCAGCTGCAAGAGAAAACACTACAGGTCTCAACACTCCCTATCCATGTGAAATACAAATGGATCGCGCGTTAACATGGCGAACCGTCGACGGGCCTCCCAAGAGCAATCAGCTCGCAGCAATAAGGGCTGGCTAGTCGCACAAGCTAGACACATCCAACACATCCGTCCGTTCCCACTCCACTTCCGGAAACCGAGAAGCTCGCAGTACCGTGGCCATCCCCCAACTGGCTTGGCAGAAGCACCCCAACCAATCGCCTGCCATTGCCTCTCCACTTCCATGAAACTGCCCCCATAAAACCCCACGCGCGGCATTCGCCCCGAAAGCAGCGCATGCACATTTCAAACAAAAGCTCGCGCAATGCTGTTCAGATTGCGGTTGTTGCAATCCTTCTCGCGGATGACCATGAGAAACGAAACCTTTTAAGCAAGTCGACCCGAATTCCAACAGCGCGTTCCAGGATGGAGCACGCAGGGGCTCGCGATAGGCAAAGCACCCCGCATCACCGTGAAAACCGATCGGCAACCATCTGGCGAGCGCGCCAGGTCTCAGCACCTGATGTTGCGGCGCGGGGCCGCAGTGTTGCTCCAGTTTCCTCGGCTGCGCCGGGACCTCCGCTCGCGCACGTTCTCCGGCACTGCGGCCTCTCGCCTCAAACCCGCCGGGGGAAATTACGGGGGCGCAAGTGCAGGCGGAGCGGGGCGTCTTTCGAAGCAAGGCTCGGGAATGCAAATGGCCCGGCCCGGCACTGGCGCGCCAGCGGCTCCCCGAACAGGTTCGCGAAGGCCCGATGAATCGACGATGGACTTTGCCATGGCTTCCAGCAGCTGCGACTGACAGCACGCCCCCTGCAATTCGACGTTGCCCGCGCGCTGCTGTACTCGGCGATCGTGAAATCCCCCCACTGCCCAACCTCGGCGGAGTCTTCGATTGGAGGGCGCAGCCCCGCGGGAAGCAGGGGGGATGTTGATCCTGCCGCGCGATGCCTTTCTGGGCGCACTGGCGGGGGAGCTATCTGATTGCGGTCGATCGGCCCCGCCGCCGGCCATTGGCGGAGCCTCATCTGCCCCCCGAAACCCGCGTCAAATCGCGCAGCTTGCCGCGCGCGTGAAAACGCAAAACGCGCAGTGGAATATGAGATGCATTGGATTCAACCCCAAACGAGCCCAAATAGCTACGGTGAGACACGGGCCCGCCGAAGGAAGGCATCCAACCCAGAGCGGCTCGGAAAGCTTAAAGGCACGGGCGACGGGGCGGCGCAACGACAAGGGGAGCTGACAACGACGCCTCGACGAGCTCGACGTTCGCGCGGCCTGGTTTGCCACGCACATCTCCGCCATATTATCGCGCTGCTTCGACGCGCGCGCGCGCCCCAAAGGTCGAGCCCGCATTCATCTCGAGCCCCACCCCAACACGTGAGAGACCGACCCAGCGCTGGCAGACGCGCGCGCGGAATCTGCCGACGACTACTTGCGCTTCGTCCAAGGATCTCGAGGCAGCCCCGTGCAGGCCGAAATTCTGCGCCAGCTCGAGGACGTTGTCGCGGCTTGCTTTGATCTCGCCCATAGTCCCGATGAACATCGGGGGCAGGGACTCGCTGGCGACGCCGGCCAACGCCTTCTCGGGCAGCTGTGCAACCCTGGTGACCTTCGGGATGCGTTTTTCGATGTCGGACAGCAGTGCGCCAGCGTGGGCCTCGCCAGCCCAGCCGCTCTCGCCGCCCCCCTCGATCTTCCACGCCCGGGCCCCCGCGGTCGCGAAGCGATCGAAGGCGTCGCGAGGCTTGCCCCTCAGCTCGGCGATCCCCTGCAGGAGCTTCTCCAGCTCTCTGAGCTCTTCCACTCGGACCTCGACGTCGGCCACCCTCTCGCCAGCGTCGCCGCCAGCCGCCCGCGAAGCATTGGCGACGGCATCGCAGTCGCCCTCGTCGGCCGCCGCGGTGGATTCGGGCGCGAGCTCGCGCTCGTCGCCCTCTGGCGTTCAGCGTCAGCGCCCCGTCAGCCCGGCCCCAGCGGAGTCCGCGAGCGAGTCTGGTCGGGGCAGGGGCTTCCCCGACCCCCGCCAGCGCTTGCCCGCGACACCCCCGCCCCCCCAAGATCTCGCGAAGTGCCCGATTGCGGGGCGCTTCTCCCCCTGGTCCGGCTTCAACCAGATCCCGCTCGCCCCAGCCAGCTCTTCCTCGGCGAGCCGCGCATGGGGCGGCCTAGTCGAAGGAAGGGCCGCAGGCGCGGCACCTGGCAGAATCGCATACTAAAAACAAAAATTGCAGACAGCTGCGGGCGCGGCCACTGATTCGACAACGCGTCTGGCTACTCCGCCACGAGCGCCAGAAGACCCCCAATCCCGATCCCCGCATGACTAAAAGCACGCGCGCTCTCAAAGCTGCCAGAGCTTCCGGCGCTGGGCGGGGGCCGCAACTCAGACATGCGAGCATGCGATCATTGTTTTTGATTCGTTTTGATCTGATCACACACCTGAGCGGGCCATAAATACACGTGGAAATATATACACACACACACATATATATATATATATATATATATATAGCTACACACGCACGCCAAAACCATCCTGTCAGCAATAACTCCAGACTTATTCCAACAGCAATGCGCGTTTCTGATTGCAGACTTGCGCGGCTCGTCCCAGCGGCGCGATTGGCGCTCGATTTCGCAGTGCGTCGCGCTTTATTTCGACGCGCGATAGCCCCGCCAACCCTCTGGGCGTCGGCGGTTGAGGAAGTGCCCTCTTCCACTCCGCCTTCTCCCCCTTCGGGGAGGGGTTTACCCCTCCCCCTGCCCCCTTCCCATGGACTCGGACAGGGGGCGTCGCGGGTCGTCGGGCCGCCCAAAACGGCCTCGGCGAGAAAGCCAGAATCATTCGTTTCACGAAAGCGTTTGCCCCGTTTTGGCCTCCTGGGGAGGGGCCCTAATTGAAGCCCCCCTCTCGCTTGATCGATCTCCTCCAAGATGGCCCCAAAAAGCGCCCAGGCGGCCCCAAGAGGTCCCAAGATGGCATCTTGGCCCCAAGAAGCCCCCAAGAGGCCCACAGGAGGCCCCCGAGAGACCCCCAAGAGGCCCCGAGAGACCCCCAGAGGCACCCAAGATGCCCCAAGAGGCCTCGGCGAGAATACCAAATCCACGATTCTACAAACGCTTTAGCCACATGTTGGCCTCTTGGGGGGGGGCGCTGATTAAGATGGCTCCAAGAGCGCCTGGGGGAGCCCAAAATGACTTCCAAGATGGCTCAAGACATCCCAAGATGCCTCAGAATGGCTTCCTCCTCTGGGCGTCCGTCGTTTCTGGACGGGCTGGCGGGGGTTCTTTTTTTTTGGTCGCGGCCGCGAGACAAGCATCAGGTGGCAAGTGCAACGCCCGGGCCACGGGCGAGGCTAATCGGCTAAAGCTCCGGCGGGGATTCTTTTCTGGTCGGCGGCCGCGCGACAAAGGTCAGCCGGCAACGGGCGCGTCCGGGACGGCGGAGCAGGCAAATTCCACGCTAGGCGTGCAATGCACGTGCACGGAGCAAAATGCCCCGCATTCACAGGGACGCACCTAGCGCACGGAGGTGCAAGCTGCGGAGTAAGTCGCCCTTGCGGCGCCAAGCTCCGAGCAACTGCCCAGACAGACAACTATTCGGCCGGGGATTCGCGAAGCGTCAACAATTCGCTCGTTTGTTGTTTGCGCTGTCGTCGCGCGCCTGGCGGCCGAGGTTTCGCTTCTACGGCCCATGAAAAAAGGCTCGGCAATTGCCGCCAGCTCGGGCGCCGCGGGCGCCGCAGTCGGGAGACGTGGCCCGGGCCCCGGGGAGACCTGCGTTCCGGAACTGCTGTTCCCCGCGGGCCGAGCGAGCCGCGCGGCGCAGAGGCGGCGCGCCCCCGCAGACCGACTGCTGGATGTCGCGCCGAAAGAGCACGAGCGCCCCGACACGGGCGCGGCCATTGCGGGCGCGAGCTTCGCGGCCGTCGGCCCGCCGGCAGCGCGAGCTCTGTCACGGAAGAACTTCCGCAAAAGAACAGCGCAGATCCCGCGCAACTATTCCCTCGGAAAATCAGCAATGTCAGCGAGAACCAAAGACCGCCAGAAACAAACGCGCCCGCGAAATCGCGCCCGCAGGAATCACCCCCGCCCCCCCCCCCCCACCCCACCCCCAAACACTCCCCCTCCCCAAAAAAAAAAACGCGCGCGACACTAGAGGGGGGGGGGGGGGGGGGGGGGGGGGGCAAGATCACCCTTGCGAGCCGCCGTTGATGGCGCGCAAATTCGGGCCCACCTGATCACCTCCACTAAGCCCATCATCGACGTCACCGTCGCCATCTTGAACATCTTCCCCGAAGATGGTCTTCCCAATCGGGCCGACGTCTCGCGGCAGTCGGGGGCGACGGTGGGCGACGTTGTCTAGGTCCCGCTGCGCGGGCGGCGAGTCCGCGCCAATGACTGAGACGGCGGAGGCGGCCTGAATCAGAAACGCGTCGCACGACGAACTGCCCCCCCCCCCCCCGCGCGCGCGCCATCTGGCAGGACATGCATCCGCGAGGCAGCAGCGCGTTGCACGTCGTTCACTTTTAAAGCTAGCTCGTCGCCGATGGACGCGCGCCCAGGCGGGCGATCGTCTTCCATTGCGATCTGCCCCGCCACGAGCGCAAGCGCCCCCCGCCCCCCCGCGAGGTGAAAATGTCGAAGCTGCGGGCTCTCCAAAAAGGGGCATCGCGCGAGAAATCATATCGACGAATCCTTCGAAGCTGGAATGGCAGCGGCTAGGTTGCCCTGCTTGGTGACGAAGCCGCCGATTGCGGCAACGACCGTGATCATGTGATTTCCGGCACGTCTGCGATGGCGTCGCCAATCAAAAAGCGCGGCCTGGTGAGAACTGGTCGCAGCGCTAAGCAGTGCCAACGCGAATAACCCCTATGCGAGACGACGCGCTGTTCCCAGTTGTAATTGCAAACCAGGAAAGCTGGAATTTCGATGCTGCGGCCTGCGTGGCCTGCATGGCTGCCATTGCTTTCAATGTTTCATGTGCTTCGATGGTCTTCAACTTGTGCTCCAACCTCTGCTTGGCCAGCTGGTCCTTGGACCAGCTCTGCGTCGGGCCCCTCGCGGTGCTGGCGAGAGCTGGCGGATCCGAGATGTTTGCAGAAGGCTGCCTTGGTGTGTCACGTGGTTTTTCGTGCCTAACGGAATCGCAACGGTCGGACTACACATGGCGGAGGTCCATGTCCAGCTTTGATGTTGCTAGTGGTCGTGCTGTTTAATAAGTTCTTCTCGAGGTCATCCAGGGGGCCTGCAGTGCCTTTCGACACAGATGGCGGGGGCATGCCGATGTCACCTCAGTCGCCGACGAGGCCGATTGCGGGCACGAGCTTCACGGGAACTGGGGCGTCCCCGATTGAACTCGAACCGCTCCCGTCGCCAAGATGTTCCTCCTTGTCCTTGTTGCACGGGCTCCCACCGGCATCGCATTGTTTGTGCGCCAACAGACCCCACATAATTCGAAGCCTCGAGGGGCCGCTTGCCGTCGTCACTGAATCCCACCACGCTCTCATGCGATAGGCTGCTCGCTCGCCCACGATACCATATGCTTTATGAACGGTTTGTGCGTCAAGCGTGCTCCTCCGATTAACACAAATATTCATGAAAACGATTGCCTGCTTTGTCGTACTTCTGATCACACAATCGCTTTCGCTTCCAATTCTGAATCGTGCCTTGTGAATATAAGCCGAGCTCGATGACATCTGTTGAGTCGGCAATGGAGTCTGACGAGAAGCGAAACACATCACCGTCTGAAACCTTGACGTTCTCTGTTTCTGGCATGGGTGGAATTGCGCACGCGACCTCGAACAAAAATGTTCGACTCATGTGTATCAGTTTGGGGTTTGCTGTCCGCTGAGGCACCGAAGAAGCTGCGTTTCCAATCGAGGCGCGGCTGTTCCTCTCGACGCGCCGTTTCTTGCAAATCGGCCCTGTCAAAAACAGTTGTGGGTGGGGTGGTTGGGGAGGGAGCACAGCTCCCATTGTATATGGCATGAGCACTCCCCATCCTCGTGCTCGTCCTCCTCGGTCGCTCGGTCGGTCGTCCTCCTCGGTCGTTATTTGTCACTCGTCTGTTCCTAACCTGTGCCCCCACACACACAACATGTTTTGCACTCGGAGCCGGAATGCGCTCATCATGTCCCCATGCCACTCGGAGACTGAATGCTTCGCTTGCGCGGAAAAACAGGACGGACGACGATCGAGGCGTCACGACCGCCACCCAGCGAGCGATCGGCCGCCACCAGGCGATCGAGGCGCCACGGCCGCCACCCAGCGAGCGATCGAAGCGTCACGGCCGCCCCCCAGAGATCGATCTAAGGGTCCGCCGACCCACGCATGGGGGGTCGTCAGGCGAGGTAGTCTTCTGCATCCTCTCCCGACACCTCCACAATATAGAAAGGTCTTGAAACAATACTATCGGTGAGCCTCTAAAACGAAGCAGTAGCTACAGTTATATATGCAGATGCTCCTGTGGGCCTCGTCTGGCCCTGGTAAAGGGGCCCTGGGGCACACGAATTCGCCGGCCCAACGGGCCAGGGCGTGCTAAGATCTCCGGTACCTGGTTAACAGTATTTCTAGTTCGTGCGCGCGGGGCGGCCCCTGGGGGTCCCCGGACGAAAAGTACCCCGGCAAGGTCCCGGCAAGTCCCCGGCAAGTCCCCGGCAAGGTCCCGGCAAGGTCGGGCCAGAGATGCCGGAGTTCTGTTTCGGAGTCCAAGAGGGCTCCAGATCGGTCCAAGAGGGCCCCGAGAAGCTTTCTAGACGGTCCAAGAGAGGCCCGAGACGGCCAAAGATCGCCCGAAGACGCCCCAGATGGCCCCAAGACAGCCCAAGAGGCCTCCAAGACGCTCCAAGGGCCTTCCAAGAGGCCTCCGAAGAGGGCCCCAAGTTGCCAAAATCGTTGATTTTCATTGTTTTTTCTATGTTTTTTTGCGTTCTGGCCTTTTCGCTTCCGGACGCTCCAAGAGGGCCCAAGAGGCCTTCAAGACTGCTCCAAGACGGCCCACGAGGCTCCCAAGACGGCCCCGGAGCGGCCCAAGAGCGCCCCCCAGACGGCCCAAGTGCTGCCCAAGGCGGACCAAGAGGCCCCAAGACGGGCCCAAGAGGGGCTCAAGAAGGGAACCGAGAACTGAAAAATCGAGCCCTCCGCCCCAGAAGGCGCCCAGGACCCCGAAAGAGGCCCCAAGAGACTCTCCAAGACACCCCCAAGACGCCCCAATAAGCTCCCGTGAGGCCCCAAGAGGACCAACAACGTCAGGCCCCAGGCCCCAAGAGGACCAACAAATACCGCCAAGAGCCCGCCGAAAGCCCCCCAAGAGACCGTCACGAGAGCTCAGGAGGCCCCCTGGAGGCCTCCCGAGTTCTCCAAGAGGCCTAAAAAGAGACGCCAAGAGGCCCCAAACGGCCCCACCGAGGCTCCAAGAGGCCACGAACGCGCAAGCAAACGCCTGCGATGGCACAATACGGGCAGGCGGAATGAGCGAAGCGATTAAATAAATATGTAAACAAATCCCAGGATGTTCCCTGTTTGCAAATCTTTCCTTAATTTTCACTCTCCCCCCCCACACTTCCCATATTTTCCTTTATGTTCCAAGAAATCGACGATTACTTGTGTCTGTGCTTCGTCCCCTCCTGCAAAAAAAAGTTCACCATGATAAAACATGGGTCCCAGCGAATGGGTCGAGACCTCAGACGTACGTGCCAAAAGCTGAGCATCACCGAGGGCGTTCTGGGGTTGCCAGGCTCATCCCGAACGGCCGCCAGGGACCCGAGTCCTGACCCGAAAACCTCCGCTGGGGTCTCAGGTCGCGAAAACAACAAAACGGGGAGCATTCGGGGGCCCTTACGGCCCCTGGGACCCTCAGGAAAACGATGCGGCATGAAGAGCTGGTCCCCTGGGAAGAGGTCTAGACAGCTGGGGATCCGGGATGTGAAAAAATACATCGTCGGACGTCGGGGGCTGAGCATGACGGAAGAAGGGCCCTTCAGAGGTCGACATCGACGCGTTTGTTTCAGAGGCTTTGAAAAGGGGTTCGGGGGGTTCTCGTCGCCGCGGCTGGACGCGGCATGCAACGCCGGGCAGGATGGCCCCCGATAGGGGTCCAGGGATCGACTTTGAACGGGCTTTGACGGCTCATCAACCAGAAAATGACTCCCGGGGGAAGTTACCGCTGCAAGGACTGGTCCTGGCAGTTTTCCTCCGTGCTCGGGCCCCTGGGACCCTCCACGAGCCTCGTGGCCGTCAAATGTCGGCTCGGGAAGAGGGGCAGGACACGTTGGATGGGTCGGGGGGTCCAAGCTGGATGGGGCCCCAGAAAATCTGCCAGGAGGGAGGGAGGGTGAATCCAAATCTGCTCAAAGTCTGCCCCCGGACCCCTCCCGGGATCCACCTGGCGTACACCCTGCGAAATGCTTTAGAAATCATGGGTTAAGAAATTCATAGTCTCAGAATTTGAATAAAAACCCAGAGTGTCTATTCAAATCTTAGGATCTACATTGAAACGTTAAGAATAATCGAGACTCTGGCCGAAAACTTAAGTTTTCTTAAGCATCGCCTAAGGTGTAGTCTTCACACAGGCTCAGTTATTCACCGTCCCGGGGCCCGAAAACGGCACCCCGAGGCCGAAGAAGGCAACAAAACATTCCCGAACCCAGAAACCTCGAGCCTGGCCGCCCTTCCTGCTGGCTGGAACAAATGCGGGGCCACCTCAGACCCTGACGCGGCTCGAAATGGCACGTTTCCCTCGAGGAAAACCGAAAACGGAATCGAGACAAAATCGGACCGACATACATCGGACATCTATGAGAATCGGCGGGACTGGAAAATGTATCGGGCGCCGCGGCCGTTGCAGAGCGTTCCGGAACGCGCGTTTCGGAACACTCTAGAACGGATTTGTCTCGCTTATAGGCCGTCCGATCAGGACCTATTTCCTCCATGGCGAGCGGTGCGCCCCGGCCGGAGGCCAGAAGTTCTGCACGTCCACCGCCAAGGCAGCAGATGTCAGGGGAGGCAGCGGATACGGATATTCTCGGGCCCACGGGGGGCGCGGCCCCCGTCTGAAGTCGCCTGGACGAGAAGAGGGAGGGAGAGAGAGAGAGAGAGAGAGAGAGAGAGACAGCCCTGAGATCCAGAAGTTGACTACCTACCAAACCACCTAAACCAACCCGAAGTCACTGTTGGTCTCGTCGATTTCCAGTGGGGGGGTCATTCCAGAACATTGAAGAAACACGAGGGACGATGCGCACACACACACACACAACCCGAAATTTGGGGTGGCCAAGGGCCTTCGGGTTGGGGGGGGCCTGGTAAGTAGTGAGAATGGAGGCCTCCTGGATAGGGTCCGAGCAGATGGGGTCGGAGGATCGCACGCACCGGCGATGCCCCGTCGACGTGGGCGATGCATCGGCGACGTTGACGTGAAGCAAATCGGGCTCCGCGTCAAGCCGCATCGCAGATGCATCGGCGATGCGGCGCGATCCTCTGACCCCATCTACTCCGACCCCATCTAGGAGGCCTGGAGAGAAGCCTCCAGAAAAGAGGTTTGTCATTCACCAGCACAAGCGCTAAATGCTTCGAGGGAGCCCCTGCAGGCCCCCGAAATCGGCGGGCCAACGTGCTCCCCATCGTGGCCCCCCTTCTGGCTGTTTGCACGAGGTCGTATGCCGCTGAGTCACCTGGCAAACGGCCGGGTCAACTGACCCACCGAGTCACCGTCTCGATGACCCAGGTCACCGAGTCAGCCGGCAGCGGAGTCAGCCAGGTCAGCTGGGTCAGCCAGGCCAACCGGGTAAAACAAGACAGGCGGGCCAACAGCCGGGTCAACTGGGTCACTGGTCACCGGGTCACCAGATCGCTGGGTCACCCTGTCAATCAGGTCAACTGGGTCAGCGGGGACAATCTGGTCAGCCAGGCAGGAGGAGAAGGAAAAAGATAAGGAAAAGGCAGGAGAAGGAGAAGGAGAAGGAGTCACCCCGCCCATAGTAAACCCTGAGAAGGCATCCTCGCACCCCCACATGCATCGGCGAAGTCGGGACGGAGAAAGCCAGGCTCTTGATCACGATGCGTCGCCGATGCATCGGCGATGCCGTGCAATCCTCCGACCCCGCCTGCCCCAGCTCCGCTTCGGCAGCCCAGGCTCCGGCAGGTCAGGGGGAGCCCTATGCGCTGCGGGGGGGGCCTCTTGAAAGGCTCTTGGAAGCATCTTGGGCGCCTTGCGGGCGTTCTCGGGGGCCGCTCGAGAGTTTTGGGGGCAGTCTGGGGGCGTCGTGAGCGCTTTTGGCGCCGTCATGTGCAATCTCGGCGCCCTCTTGCGCCCCTCCCCCCGCTTTTAAGCGGCCCATCTCCCCAGACATGCAACGTCCAGATGTTTTCAATACGGGGTCTGTGGAAGTCCCGACCCTTTCCCCGGGACGGTCCCAAGGCCCGGCGAGGGCCCCCCGAAGCCGAAATTGGCCTAAAACCTCCCGTCCTGCTTTTTTAACGACGCGTTCATGTCTGGGTCCGTCTCTCCCGCGCCGCAGGCCAGCGAGGGGGCGGGCAGGCAGGTCAGCGGGGCCACGAGGCCGCCTCGCGTGCAGATGCCGGCGGCAGCGGCGCCTCCGTGCGCGCCTCACACAGCATGTCGGCCACGAAGCTGAAGCGCTCGCCCGGCGCGGGCGCCGCTGCTGCTGCAGGGCTGGCACTGGGCGCCGCGCTGGCAAACGTCACGGCTCCCGAGGCAGCGCCGAGCCCTCCGCCCGAGGGCGGCTGCGCGGGCACGCCTGCCGGGAAGCCGTTGGCGGCCGAGTGGGCCATCGGCGGAGGCGCGCCCGAGGGGACGGAAGGGCCGCAGTGGCCGGCGCCAGGGGCGAGCACCACGGGCTGCAGGCCCAGCAGGGCAGGCGCGGGCTGCAGGCCCAGCAGGCCCGCCGCGGCGACGTCGCGGGCCTGCGCGCTCTCGGGAGGGCCGGCCTGCAGGTCGAGGAGGTCCGGCGCGAGGGCTCCGAGGTCTGGGCCCCCTGCGGGGCTGCCCGCCGCTGCCCACGCCGGCGGGGCGGGCCCGACGCTGCCCACGGCAGGGGCGGGCGGCTGCGCGCCGCGGTGGACGTCGACGCCGACGCGCAGCCCGTTCTGGTAATGCGCTTCGTCCAGCGTCGCCGCGCGCCCCTGGCCGATCAGGTACTGGGCCGCCTCGGCCTCGCTCGCCCCCGCGTGAGGGCGAAGCCACGCCACGTCCACGAGCGAGGCTCCCTGCCGCATGTAGGCCTGGACCACGCGCGCCCAGTAGAAGCGCCCGTCGGGGGCGTACCTGGCCGACACGGTCTCCCCCTGGAAGACGTCGCTGGACGCGGCCGACTGCGGCGCCAGAGGCCCCGCCGCGGCAGGCACCGCCCGCGACCCCGCGGCGGCCAGCGGCGCCCCTGCGGCGCCGCCAGGTCCCGGCGGCGCGGCCAGCGCTGGCGAGCCGGGCGCGGCGACGGGCGAGTCGAGGTCGAGCAGGTCGGGCGGGGCCTGCTGCTGCAGCAGCTGGGTGTACCTCTCCCGCGCCAGCTGCGCTGCCGACGGCCTGCTCCGCCGAGTGGCGGCCGCCCCGCCGGCGAGGCCACCGCCCGCCCGCCCCCGCACCAGTACATCCGCAGGGTCCCTCTGCAGCAGGTCCAGGGCGGCGGCGGCGGCCGCGTCGGTGCGGCCGCGAGGCCCCAGGTCGGAGGGCCTCGCGGGGCGGATGCACGGAGGACTGTACGGAGGGCCGTGCGGCGGCAGCCCATCGGTGCCCCGGCGCATGGTCGTCACGCCGCTCTTCGTGCGCGCCCGTGCCGCCACTCACCTTTCATCACCAGCCCAGCAGTTTCGCTGCCGCGGTGGCCGGGGGCCCAGTGGAGGGAGAGGGCAGGGGGGCACGAGGTGGATCGCAATTCAGAACAATCCGCCGACCCCCCGCTTGCCGGGGTGAGGACGCTTCTGAGATAATTGGCTGTCCCCCAGCCTCCTAATATACCTCTGTGGCCTCCAGGATGCCAAAATACTTTCCAGGATGGCTCAAGAAGGGCTCCGACACACCAGAGAGACTCACAAATGGCAAACTAATTGTGTAGCTCGAATGTATGAGGATGATGTTCGCGTTCTCGCCCTTTCGGGCTTCTGCAATCCCAAGACGACCCGCGAGGCACCCCCCACACCAGCCAAGACGACCCAACAGGCACCCAAAATAACCCAGAGACGGCAAAAGAGGGACCCAAGATGGCCCAAGAGGCCCCAAAGACGGCCAACAGAACATTCAAGAAGGCCCAAAGAGGCCCGACCTAGATCTAAGGAGCGGCCCGAAAACCATAGCTCCTCTGAGCCCAGTGGTTCTTATCTCAACGCCTTGACTGTCCGAACTCGGAAGCCGCACATATCCTCTTGTGAGGGCCCGCGGAATGGCGCAAGCCTGTTGGATCCGCCCGCCCTCCTGGCTGAGGGGCGCGTAATATGTTACCCCCCCTAGGCTTCCGACACTTCGCAGCCAGATGCGCCACCTAGCCTATTTCTGGCCCCAAGATGTTTCCAGACAGCGCCGATACGACCTTGACCTTCATACTGTTCCCACTGCATTTTCGTCGGAGCGCTTGTTTACTGGTCTGGCCGGCCCAGTTGGAGCCGCTTTTTGGCCTCCAAAACCGATTTCTGAACCTCCCGAAAACGTCATCGGGACCCAACTTCGCTTGCAAGGTGGGATCGAACGGTTACGGTGGAGGCATTGGATAAAGGGCCTAGTGGAAACCCTATCGTGGACGCTAGTGGAAACCCTATCGTGGAGTGGCCATGGATACCACCGCCGCCCTCATCAAATAAGGAACCTTCCACGGTCTGAAGCCTCCTGGGCAGGTTCCCTGGCGAACGCCCCCGCCGTATGATTTCTTAAGAACTCAGCCCCGCCAGAGGTCAACCAGACGCCTCTTATCGCGGACTGTTGGGCTCGACTGCGGCATGCTTCTTCGTGCTAGTTTCGACACCGTTGTGGACGCGTTCCAATTTGAACCTTGACGACAAATTGGGCCCCACGACGCGGCCTAAAACGGCACCGACGTTGGCCCGGCTTCAATGATGTTCGGACGGGGCTTGGGTTCCACGCGGGTATGCTCGCGCTTGAGCCGTCTAGCAGCTCGCCTGGGCCGCCCCGGGCCGATCTTGGCCGCTTTGGGGGACCTTTGGGGGGCCCTCTTTGGCCCTTGACGGTGCCTTGCTAGCCGTGTTTGAAACATTCGAGGCATTTGGAAAATTGTTACGGTGCCAGAATGAACTCCACGACCCCCGACTCCCCGACCCCCCGACTGGCCGACTGGCCGACTCCCCGACTCCCCGACTGGCCGACTGGCCGAGTGGCCGAGTGGCCGACTGGCCGACTCCCCTACTGGCCGGCTGGCCGACTCCCCGACTGGCCGACTCCCCGACTGGCCGACTGGCCGACTGGCCGACTCCCCAACTCCCCGACTGGCCGACTGGCCGACTTCCCGACTGGCCGACTGGCCGACTCCCCGACTGGCCAATCCTGACTGGCCGACTCCCCGATGAGGAGTCGGAGAACTCATTCCGGCACCTCAAAAATTGTCCTGCACATTCGGGGCAGCGCTCTTTCTTGTTTTGTTTTCTAGTTTTCTGCTGTGTATAGGGCGCAGAGGCCCAGAAAACCAGCGCCCACGTCGCTGATCCGTTGGTGATGATGGCGGGCATCGGGCACCACGCGGCACGCGTTTTTGCTGGCGTCGCGGCCACGCGCGGGCGACGCGGTGCAGAAAGGGCCAGGGAAGCGCGCGCGCCGACCCGGCGCGCGCGGCGGGGAGACGCGGGAGGAACCCATAGGGGATCGACAGCGACACTCGCAGGGGGGGGGGAGCCGTGAGAGGACAGACAGGGAGAGGGGGGAGGGGCAGGGAAGGGGGGAAAGCGAAAAAGGAGGCAGCGCAGCGCTTCAGTGTCCAACTGGCAACACACACACACACACACACACACACACGCACACACACACACAAAACACACACACACACACACACACACACACACACACGCACGCACGCACGCACGCACGCACGCACGCACGCACGCACACACACACACACACACACACACACACACACACACACACACACACACACACACACACACACGCACACACACACACACACACACACGCACACACACACACACACACACACACACACACACACACACACACACACGCACGCACGCACGCACACACACACACGAACACACACACACACACGCACACACACACACACACACACACACACACACACTCGTTGGAGACCGCGGCCTCGCGCGCAGCGGCGATTCGGAGAAAGAGCGCTCGAGCAAACGAGCAAAACTAGAGACGCGCGCGGCCGGCCCCCCCAGAAAGGATACAGGCATCCAGTGGACACGCACGCACGCACGCACGCACTCACGCACACTCAAGCGCGCACACACACGCACACGCACTCACACACACACACACACACACACACACACACACACACACACACACACACGCGCGCGCGCGCATGCGGGAAGATCTTTTCCTTTGTTCGGAACATGTTTATCCCGCACGGAAGTTATCCTCGCCTCATCCAGCGAGAACTGAAAAGAGCGGGGGGGAACTTGTTGTTCGCGAGCGACACATAGCAACTGCGCGCCGTCAAAAAGCGAAGCAACAGCTCTACGATCTAAATTGCGGCCAAAAGCGGAGCCGAACACGCGCAGTTAACTAGCGGCGGGCGGAAATGTAAACAAAGCGGCGGGAGCGGGCTACGCTGCAGCTCAGACGACGGGACACCAGGCTCCAGGAGGTGCGAATCGTCGCCGGCGAGGACCAGGCGAGGGCCAGGTAGCAGGCCAAAATGGCTGTGAATTCGCAAGTAGCCACACCGCAGCGGCGTCACTCGGCGACCTCGTCGAACGTCTCCGAAGCGTTGGGTCTGCATGTGCCAACCGCCGATCCAACAACCCATCGCAATCGGCAGGCGCGGTGCCGCGTGCCCCCTTCCACGTGGAGCGGGGGGTGAACGCGAAGCGTCTCAAATTTGAAACCGTCTGGAATATGATGAACCGTGCGCCCAGGAGATATGGGGCCCTCGTTTGACCGAGCTCTTGCGGATTACGTGTGGCCCCTCCTCGTGCCCAGGGCCTGGACCTGTCGAGCTCCCGCAGCACACCCGCACCCTCCCCAGAAAGAGAGAGAGAGAGAGAGAGCAGACCTTCCGACTGCTGTGCTGAATTGCACTGGGAGGCGAGGGGCCCCCCTCGCAGAGCAGGGTGTGGGAGGAGGGGGAAGGGGGACCGATGAGGGGGGCGAGGGGGGGAAGCAGGAGGGGCGCAGGTGAGGGCAGCGACGGAGGAAGACAAAAGGAGAGAGGCGGCGAGGGGGGGGGGGAAGGGGGAGAGGTGGAAGTGACGAGGGAGGGAGCGAGGCAGCAGGGGCAGAAGGGGGGGGGGAGAGGAGCGCGGGGGGAAGGGCAGCGGGAGATGCGGAAGGCCGCGGGGAGCAGCGCGCGAGCGCAGGATGGGCTGCGCCCGCGCGGCCTCCGCCTCTCTCGAGCCCGCCGCGGCCGCGGCGAGAGAGCGCCGGGCGAGGGGGGAGCGCGAGGGCGCGGAGAAGGAGCCCAGAGACACACAAGCACATGGGCACTGACAATTCCACCAAATATCAAACATTTTCCACTGTTCGTCTTCCCCTCCACTTCCCATGGTTTCCACCTTTTCCTGGGACTCGATGACTGTATGTGTCTGTATGGAATTTTCCCTCCTGAGAAAGGAAGGAGCAGGGTGAGGAGCTAGAGCGGGGTCAGCAGAGCGGCGGCGACGACGACCACCACGGCGACGACCACGACGGCGACAGCGACGGTGACGGCGACGGCGACGAGGCTGGCGACGGCGACGGCGACGGCGACGGCGACGGCGACGGCGACGACGACGACGACGACGACGACGACGACGACGACGACCGACAGCGACGGCGACGACGACGGCGACGGCGTTTGCGACGGCGACGGCGACGACGATCACCACCACCACCACGACGACAGCGACGACGAAGCCAAGAAGAAAAAGAAAAAGAACGACGCGGCAGGGGCAGAAAAGGAGGCGGCGTTGGACGTGGAGGCGACGGTGGCGGCGGCAGTGGGAGTCGGGGGATCAGAAGCACCAACCACGAGTTACGCCATGTTCTCATCGGGAGCTCTTCTCGGGAACGGCTCAAATTTATTCAGGCCAGCTACACTGATAGGACGCCGAGTTCAGCTGACATAAACCCAAGACCCAGTCGGAGAAAACGGGACTTGACCGGATTGACCTTGATCAAGCCGGGCGGACAGAATTACCAGTGCCGATGCTGAATTCGACCCTACAAGAATTGCAATCTTGGGCGCCAGCACAACGCCGTAGCCTTAGCGCACGCGCCTCCCACGTGCGATGTGGTCTATCCCCCAGTCATCCTGAGGTGTTGGGTCCTCGTTTTGAATCCACAGCACCGCGTCTCACTCCTGCTCCTCCTCCTCCTCCTCCTCCTCCTCCTCCTCCTCCTCCTCCTCCTCCTCCTCCTCCTCCCTCGCTCCCTCCCTCCCTCCCTCCCTCCCTCCCTCCCTCCCTCCCTCCCTCCCAGCCTCCCTCCCCCCCTCCCTCCCTCCCTCCCTCCCTCTCTTTCCTCCTTGCCCCTCTGTTTTCCGCGTCAGCCTCCCCTCCTTGCATCTACCCTCCGATTGTCCACTTCGGAACAAAATCTGTGACACGTTTCGTGGTTCCAAAAGGGG